GGCCATCAGAGAGTCGCTGCRTTCGCTCAACCAGTCTTGGTGGAGAGCTCCGATGCCCACCCTCCCACCCCTCCTGTGGTTCCAGAGTTGGTGGTCCCAGTAGTTCCAGAGCCAGTGGTCCCAGTGGTTCCAGAGCCAGTGGTCCCGGAGCGTCCAGTTCCAGTCCCAGTTCCTGAGTCGGTGGGTCCACAGTGGGTGGTTCCACAGTCAGTGGTCCTGGTGGTGGTCCCAGAGTTGGTGGTCCTGGAGGTTCATGGGTTGGCTGCCGGCACCTCCTCATCACCTGGGTTGTCGCCAATCGCCTCCATGTCACCTGGGTTGTCAGTCATCGCCTCTTCATCGCTTCTGTCACCTGGGTTCGCCATCGCCGATGCTCTGGCTCCTTCAACCTCTGCCAGCTCCTCATCACCTCTTGCCTCCTCCCTTGGCTCCACGTTTGCTCCCGCTTTCTCCTTTGGCTCCAAGTCTGCTCCCGCCGCCTCCTCTGATGGCTTCTCCATTCCTGTTGGGCCTTGTGTTGGATTGTTTCCTGGCCGTTCTCCTGATTTTGTTGTGTCGTGTTGTTGAGTCTGTTTTGTCACGTGTCTCCACTTGTCCYGTGCCTCTCCTTATTGATCGTCAGGAGACGATCGTTAAGAGGGAGGTACTGTCATGGTCTGTCATTTTATGCCTTGGTTTTCCTAGTGTTTCACTGTTTACCATGTGTTTCTTTGCTCCAGCCCCGCCCACTCACACCTGATCCTCATGTTTCTTCCCCAGGTCTTTCTTGTTTGTAATCATGAGTTTCCCTTTATGTTCAGTGTCTTGTGATCTTGTCTGTTGGATCATTGTGCTGTCTRCCCWGATCGTGTCCTRTTCATGTTCCTTGAAAACCTTGACTATTCTAGTGAGTTTTTTGTGCTGCACCGTCAGCTTTTTCTTTTACATTAAAGGCCTTGCTTTTTGAACCTGCCTGCGTCCTGGGTTTTTTTGCCTCCAATTCATGACAGAATCTTTTGAACGGCTCTTTACAATGAATGATAGGAGCCGAGTCGCGGGCAGTAACGAGCCATTTTTAGTTTTATTCATTTTATTCCTAATATCATCTTTATTTTTCATCCTTAAATTGCTCCTGTTTTTCTTTTTCACAGAAAACAGGCAGCGCGGTGGAGTACAGAAGCTCACGGGAAATGGGGGTTACTGCTTGACAAAACACATGGTTCCACCCACGTGACGTGATGACGTCATCACATCGCCATAAGTCATGACGTATTTCCCTACATGATGACGTAACTTGTGCAAAATCGAACGGCTTTGAACTGCTCTATGAAACAAACAGCTCCCCAAGATCCAGATCCCTTTAAAGAGCCATTTATCCCATCACTAAAAAATAGTACTTTAAACTGAAAGGAAACTTCTGGAGGAGGGCAGAGTTAACGTAAACAAAAGGTTGGGAKGGGGTTTTCATAGCAACTTACGCACAACAGCACGTTCTGAAGAGAGCTCAGAACAGACAGAACTGAAAGTGAAATTTCATTATCTGAGATTCATTATGTGAATTTAATCAAATKAACATGTTTTGTATAGCCCACAGATGGATCCTAACTTGTTCYACGACCCCCATTTTGGGTCACCTTTAAGCTGGGGTGGCCATGATCTTGAGCATCTTAATGAATTAATAAAAATTTTATACGCAGTCAGTAAGTCTCTTCTGAGCATTTTGCTAAATTATGTCCAGTGGTTCTTGAGATATTTTGCTAACAAAGAGGGTTGATTGGGACTTCTCTCATAGACAAGGATTTCTCTGGTAGAATTTCAACTGGGCCAAWCAGYGAACAGAAGGAGTGAACGACAACCTAGATTTTCTGCGCCGTTTTAGTCTGCTTGCAATAAACAATGGCAGGAGGAAGTGAATGAAGCCAGTCCGTCACCAGTTAAATTTGTCTCTCAGAACCTGCAGCATACTGTCACAGCCGTCTAATTTGGCTTGGTACTTCTCTCCTCCCAGTAAGGGATGGTTGTTTACAGCACATGCAATTTCCTGTTCTTAGCTTTGCTTCCTTCATGGTCGAGCTGGCGTACTACACACATCACGGCCAAACTTTAGCGATTGGGTRAATCAGATCCAATCATTTAAAACTTCAACAKAGTCCACGCCTCTAGCAAGAAATGACGTCTCAATGGCCAAGATGCCAGACCCTCTGTACGGAGCAAAGCRTACGACAAGGGGCTGGTTTTTACCAGGCTATACTGACTGTAACTWGCACTTCAATGAATCGATATTGATATTGTAACAGTTTTGTGTATCAGGGCATTTTGTATGAGTACGAGTACTTGAAAGAATGCTGGTATTGGTTCCAGTGTGTCACTGTGTTTTAGCAGTTGATGCTCATCTACCACAGTAGCTAAGTATCTAAATTTGTCTGASTTGTAGGCATTTTGTTTTTTCWTAGATCTTAGTGAACWTCTTGAATGGGATTGACTCTAAAAGTTATTCACTCATAGTTGTATATTCAATAATTATTCAGTATGCTGGGAGTTTCATTAAAATCTGTCAAGCAGCTTCTGAAATATTTTTTGAATACTTTAGACAAACACATACTGACAACCACACACTTTTCACTTTGAGATCTCCTCTTCTTCTGAAGCCTCTGTCTGCACAGTTCTGTCAATCACCTTATTTTTCTCTCTTTATTTTTGTGCCTGAGGTTAAAATCAGATGCAGGGAGCATCGTATTAAAGTGGCGCATTTCCAGAAGTTAAAATGAAAAAACACTTTTAGAATATAAATAGTCASAGATCAAATAAATGTGGGGGATTTGAGCACCTTATCTCTGTCCGTCAGTCAGTCTGGAGCTGACATCTGTTACAAAGACCCGGAGATACCCAGAGACCCTGGCAGTCTGCCCCCAGCTGCATGACAAACAGCTACCTCTCACACACGTCACATTAAATTTGACTTCAAATAATTTGTCATATTTTCTGTTTTCTACCGGTGTTTTCTGGCATATTTTTTTTACCCACCATCTGCTTGTTGAATTGTTTAAGAATGTGACTTATGGTTTCTGCAACACATTACGTTAGATTTTTTAAAGACATATTAAGCCCTTTAATCCATTATCTGTGTTGCCATTAAATGCACTGGATGATTTTTGGTAATGACTGATGTTTGAAAGTGTTTTGAACAGCTTCAGCGACTGCACAGTCTCACACAGACAGCTTTTGAGCTTTAGAGCGTAGCATGTCTATTCAGCTGAGTTTTACGGCATCCATTTTTCAAAGTTGTTTGAAAGAGCCTGTTCATTTGCATAATTTTTCTGTTTTTAAAGGAAAAAAACTGACTGACAACAGTAAAGGTAATGAATTAAATTCTCAATGAATTGARTCTTTTCATAGTATTCACTTTTCCTGCTCCCTCATTTTACATTCCACAATGGATTCTTAGGAAACTATTTCCTTAGACCTGCCCTAAAAATGAATTGTTAGAATTAATTTTTTTACTCCTTTTTCTTTTAGCTGTWAAACTGAATGTTTCATGCAGGTAGATCCTAGAAAACATACAGTTTATGACAATGCCAATAAATAACATAAAATAAAAATTTCTGGTGCAAAACAATGCTTTTAGGCACASCCAAATGTTTTTTCAAAAATTTCTGATTGTACACACCAGTGTCATTGCTCTTCTCTGCCCAGTTTGCATCAAAACGTCCTAATTGATATTAAAGTTCCCAAAAGGCCTGCGAAGGTTTGTTATAAAAGGAAGCTCTCAGAACCAGTTTAACTAAGTTATAATGGAAATAATCACCTTTTGTTTCTCTGTTTTTAAACATTCATTTCCAGGCTTTTGCCGGAGCAATACYGTAAACAGGAGTACCTATGATGCAACAACTTTCATCTCATTAATGTTTCTCAGAAAACAAGTTTTAGCACAAGCTTACAGTACATATAAATGTTTTAATGCCTGTTTAGAAGAGTGCTTTGTGTCTTAAAGTGTGTCACTGTCACTTTATAGGTCAAATATTCGCTGTGTTTTTTCTGGCGTTTGCATGTTCTCCTCAAACATGTGCAGGCTTTCTTTAGCTATTTCAGTTTCCTTACATAATCCAAACATGTCAGATAAAGATTCTAAATTACCTAYAGTTGCACTTTGTCCAGAATGTACCCTACCTCTCACCTGTTGTCTGACTCCTGTATAGTGACACCTGCCCCCTGTGGCTCCATGATTTAGTGATTATAGAAGATGGATGGGTGGGTCCTGATGGGTAGAATGTGGGCCTAATATGATAATGGTCCTTGAAATTAGTCAAGCAGATTAAACATCTCATTAAGCATTGTGCTTAATTGATACTTTTTATTTATCTGCAGCTTTCTGTTTCTCCCTGATGTCAACATTTAAGCTGTCAWATGACTTTACCTAATTAAAAACAACTTTATGTTATTTTAAAGAGAAAAAACAATGTGCTGGATTAGCACATTGCATCATAATAATTGTGAGGCTTTGTGTCACAGCATGCCTTTTGAAGGGTAATGATGGACTGATGCTGTAAAGATAGTTAAAAAACAAATATTGTTTTATTTACCTGTTTAATTTGGCAAGCATTATTCATCACATCACAGGTAATCTGCTGCTTATTACAACAAACATAACTACAGTAGATACAGTAGATTTTCTTTCTGTCCTGTTAAATAATTAAAACAAATATTTGATCATTTCTTTTTCCACAAAWAATACATTTAAATTAAACATTTTTATGCATTTAAACCAATTTGATTCTCATCATAATGCAARACTGAGCAATCAGTAGATCTATAATTTAGCAAATAAACTGAGTTAAAAGTTAAATATAAGTATGATAGTTAAAAATTGTTATTTTTAAGTGATGAAACATGACACTGAGTTGATACTGTATTAATGTYGGCTCCAGTCAGCTTATCTGATTGGTTCAGAGGTTTCCCGAGATCTCGTTCGTTATCGCGATACTGACAATTCTTCCCAGTGAGAAGCAGCCACTCAACTGTATTCAGTCGCTGTTGTGGCTACGAAGAGCAGACAGGCTCTCTTTGGTAACCGTGGTTCAGCCAGAGGCTTAACGGGAGTGTTTTTAAAGGACCTCCGTACTGAAAACAACCAACTGCAGGCGTCTCTGAGCAAGAAGGTTAACACGGCAGGTAAGGTTGCTGTCGTTATGTCCTGTTGGGTCTTTATTCTYCAGATACTCGATGTTTACAGCAGGCAAGCAACATTTAACTTGTCCATTTTTTTTTATTTTTATTTTTTAGGCTTAATCTTGTCACATTTTTTGTTTTGTTTTCCTGGAGGAACTGTTTGGCTTTTTTTTTTTTTACGTGTTTGAAAGCACCCAGTGTGTTGGTTGCTTTTCAGGGAGCCCGAGTGAGAATGTAGGAACTTCAAAGCTCACTGTCGACTTGTCTCTGGAATGCATATCCATGTTAGCTTGTATGCTAACGATACGTCTGCTTATTATAAAGTAGCTTGGCTGGATCACTAGCTGGCTCGGTCTCGTGCTAGCACCTCACAATAAYATCAGTTTATCTGTTCTGTCCTGTTGGAGTGGCTATGATGAGGTGGCAGCTCAACTTTTTTTTCACAGGTTAACTACCCTTTATGTGTCTACTGCTAGTTGTCTGCTGGTTCCCAGCGTGTTATACTAATGTTTTTACTTGCAAGCTGTTGAAACYGAATACCGAGTGTTTCATTCATTCAGAATTATTTGCCTCCATCCACATGGCTCTGTTTATGTTGCCGTCCTGTTGAAAACAAACTAAAAACATTAACAACAGCATCTCAGAGTGCCATAGTTCGAGATGTATTGACTTTACCTTTTACCCTTTTAATAATCAAAGTCCTTCAGATGTATTTTTGCATTACCAAACTAATCTGTGGAGATGTGACATGCACCTTTCCCCATCCACGTACAATGTTTCTGCAAAAAAACATTGTTTATATTTTCTAATCAATCATCAACAGGCATTGGATTTGTAAATTCAGTGCCTGTTTGTGTAAAAGTTTTCTTTTCCCCCATCACCTCTCCCTTACTGCCTGATACAGCTTAGTGTTGCTGTGTAAATTGCTTGAAGCTACTTACTTTTGAAATGAATGACACTGAATTAGGATAACCTGTATTAATACCACGAATGACAGAAAGGTGGCAAACTAACTGGAATGTTGTATTGTTCAAAATGTTTTCCWACATTGCAAGCATAGAGAAGTTTCTCTTATGCAGTGGACATACAAATGTTTTAAATTCAGCATTTTCTGGATTGGTTACAAAATAATAATAATAATAAAAAATTTAAACCATTAACATTTTGTTCAATTAAATGGAAAGCAAAGAACAACTATATAGCTTGTGTAAATGTAGAACATAAGAGCAGTCCTGTAGGATTTTTATAATGATTACATTTGATAGCTGAGTAGCAACATATATGAATACAATCACAAGCTCTTGTAATATATTATAGAAATGGTTTTGTCTTTATTCTTACCGTTTTTCATAATAAATATAATTTTAAAATGACAACATATGTAACATGTGGTAACCACATTAATGATTGCAAGGTGTGAGAGCATCACCAACCAAAATATTTTAAAAGCGTTTGGAAAAAGTTTAAACTGCTAATCACTGTTTTTTTTTTTTTTTTTTGCATTTCTGCAGCCCACTATAAGA